AGTTTTCTTGGTTGTAGTAAGAAAATTAGCATTCATCCCTCTGCTTTTCAGTTGCCATAATTTTGTTGTTCTTATCTCTTATCTTTTCTTTCTCTTTGCTTATGCCTAAAGAAAAGCAAAGCAAAGCAAAATAAAACAAAACAAAACAAAACAAAACAAAAAAACATTTGCTATTATGTCAGTGGAGTGTAGGAGTGGAGGGAAGTGAAAGTGTTCAATTTACTCGCTCTGAACAGAGGTCATTTACATTTCTCTTAAACCCATGCTTCTGAAACCATTCTTCTGAGCCTGCCCTTTCTAAGGACACCAATGACTCCCTAATCAACAAAGCCAAAAACTTCTCATGAACCCTCATTTAGGGGAACTTAGTGTCACATTTGACACCGTTGACTACCCCCTTGCTGAGACTCTTCAGTCTGCTCTTCCGTAGCAATGCTTTCTCGCATTATCTTCTGACTCAGATTGCTCTTTGCCAGTGCTCTTAACTGGCTTCTCTTTTTCTATGTTATTTTAAACATCCTTATCCCAAGAATATGAAATAATTATATAACCTGTAATTATGTGCCAGGCACTGTACTAGATAAGCATTGTCTATACAATGAATTCATCCACTCAACACTCTACACAGGAGGTACTATTAAATAACCCATTTTTACAGATAGAGAAATTGAGGCACAGTAAGGGGCGCCTGGGTGGCTCAGTCATTGGGCATCTGCCTTCGGCTCAGGTCATGGTCCCGGGGTCCTGGGATCAAGCCCCGCATCATCAGGCTCCCTGCTCCGCGGGAAGCCTGCTTCTCCCTCTCCCAGTCCCCCTGCTTGTGTTCCCTCTCGCGCTGTCTCTCTCTCTGTCAAATAAATAAATACAATCTTTTAATAAAAAAAAATTGAAACACCGAATGATCAGCTTCTTTCTCCTTCTCTCCCCTGCCTTCCTCGATTCACTTCAGAAAATAGGAGAAGGCAGACAAGAGATTTTAGAATTCCTTGCTGACGAAATTGACCAGTCCAGGATTAGAGATCTATAAATATTGGTATTTGGGGTCCTCTAATAAAAGAACATACTTGATTACCTACCACCCTTCCATTGACAAACCCCCCACAAAGAGTTTTAGTTAGTTTTCAGTGCTTCTGTTTGAAACAGGAATGGACAGCCAGAGATCACCTAACAATTGAGAAAGCTGCTGACACAAAGAACCAAGATCAAAACAAACAGGAAAATGAGACGATAAGGAAAAAAAAAAGGAGAAAATCTTGACAACAGCAATGACATTCTAATATTCTGAGAGGTAAGTAAAGATATGGGATCCCTGAAACAGAAACAGGGTTCTGTGAAAATGAAATATTCAGAAAAAAAAAAAAAAGAAAAGAGCATTTAGACTCAAAAGTCTGATAACACAAAGGGAAATACTAACTGAAGAGTTGAAGGATAAAGTTGAGAAATCTCCCAGAAATCAGAAAAAAGATTAAGATATAGGAAATGGAAAATAAATATGAAGAATATTTAATATAAGGGTGCCTGGGTGGCTCACATGGTTAAGCATCTGCCTTTGGCTTGGGTCATGATCCCGGGGTCCTGGGATCGAGCCCCACATCAGACTCCCTGCTTGGCGGGGAGCCTGCTTCTCCCTCTCCCTCTACTGTTTCCCCTTCTTGGGCTCTCTCGCTCTCTCTGTCAAATAAATAAATAAAATCTTTAAAAAAAAAAGAATATTTAATATAAAAACTTCCTGGATGGTCCATAATCTGAATAGTAGGAGTTCCAGAAAGATAGAATAGAGAAATAGAGAAAATGAAGTTATCAGAGAAATAATTTTGGATAGTTTCTCAGACTATACAGGGCCCATTGTATGTCCAGGAGAGGACTTGGAAAATCAAGATGCGTTATTGTATAATTCTGGAACGCTGTGGAGAAAGAGAGAGAGAGTTTAGGAAACTGACGCTCAAGGACGTTAAAGAACTTGCCAAAAGTTGCCTAGCGGGGAACAGGCAGAATGATGGCTGAATCCAAGACTGTCATGTCCCACTACGTAGTTTTGAGCGGTGGCAAATAAGAGAAGAGAGATTTATATCGAGACCTAGTTAGTATGAGCGGAAGATAGTGAGTTTTGGGTAGAGGAAACACACAAATATTAAGGTAAGTTGAAGATAAAGAGTCATCAGAGACCAAGAATTGAAAGGACAAGAGAGAGAAGGAGTACTTGAGCCACGTCTTCGAAAGTTTGGGGGGAGTTAGCACCATGATATGGGCAAGGGTTTGCCTTGGGAAGGAGGAAAGCTACTGGCAGGAAGTAAGGGTGGGTGAAGTTGCTGTTACCTTAGAGGAGAGAAATCTCAGTGACACTGTATTCTCCACTAAGTAGGAGGCTAGTTACTTCCCTAAGAATAGATGAGGAAGGGGAGGGCTGGATCTTTACAGGGGATTGTGGGTGGAAGGGGGTTGGAAAGTACCTGGAGCATTTAGGAAAGAGAGTAGAATTGCCAGACTGAGCAAATAAAAATACAGTGCACTCAGTTGAATTTGAGTTGCAGAGTAACGACAAATAATTTTTTTTAGTATAAGTCCCAAATATGACATGGCATTTTCTGTGGCAACCCTTAAAGAGAGATTGTAAAGCATGCATAAAAGAATAATAAAGTTGCTTTGAAATAAGAAGTGTGGAATGGCGCAACCTCAGTGTGAACTGGGCGTCAGATGGTAACCTCATTGCCAGGAGAAGTAAGGTAAAACATTGGGCTGGCCTTCCAGGCAGCAGCGGAAAGGGACCTGGGCTGAGAGCCAAGAGATAGCTTGAGGATGCAATTCTTAGGGCCTCTCCTGAGAGTAATGGGAAGAGATATGTGTGGGAACCAGAGACTTGGAATTGGCAGGGAAACCATTGCTGCAAATAGTTTTACCTACTTTCTAATTTTGCCTGAGTGGTCATCTACATTTTATGTCTTATAGGTGTGTACTAAGGATGAATATTTCTAAGTAATCACCTGCAAAGTATTTGGGCTTTTTAAAACACTGGATTAATACACCAGCAGTATTCACAAGAAAAAGACTGATTTCCCCCATGTAATTCTTTGACACGTTCAAGGTTTATTGTGGTGATTTGGACTCATGGTTAAGAGGCTACAGCCAATCTATGGTCACAGACCACGTTAACCAAGTTACTTAATATAATATGCCTGGGACTCAGTTTCCTTGTTTGTAAAATTAGGGTAATAATCATTCCTAACCTGTAGGGTCACTGGAAGGATTAAATGAGTTAATATGTGCAATACTTAGAATCTGCTACCCAAATATATAACCTTACATTAGATGTTATAGGTAGATAATGAGAAGTTTTAAAATATGTTCACTACTATACATTTGTATACACTTTGTCAGGAAATACATAGTCAGGAAATCAGTGGTTTTAATAAAGACATTCATAGGGGAGGGGAGGCATAAATAGGCAGAACACAGAGGATTTTTTAGGGCAGTAAAAATGTTCTGCATGATACCATAATCATGGATATATGTCATTATACATTTGTCCAAACCCATAGAATGTACAACACCGAGACTGAACCATAACATAAGCTATGGACTATGGATGATAATGATGTGTCAGTGTAGGCCCATCAACTGTAACAAATGTACTGTGCTCGCTCTCTCTCTCAAATAAAGAAATCTCAAAAAAATATATACTCTTTAAAAAAAAGTCTTGCTAATTTAAAAGGTGGTAAAAATAGAAATATATTTATTTTAATAAATAATGTAATATTTAATAATTTAATAAAAAGAAATTTAATGAAACGTTTCGGCAAAAAAGAAAATGCTTCATGGTGAAAAAAAGACATTTATTAGTGTAACTTTGGTATACGTTTTGTAGACTTGCATAGTCAGGAAATAAGTGGTTTTGAAAGGACATTCATTAGCCTATATTTGTATACATTTTAGACATATAAATAGTCAAGAAATTAGCACAATTTGGGGCGCCTGGGTGGCTCAGCCATTGAGCGTCTGCCTTCAGCTCAGGTCATGATCCCAGGGTCCTGGGATCGAGCCCCCCATTGGGCTCCCTGCTCTGCAGGAAGCCTGATTCTCCCTCTCCCACTCCCCCTGCTTGTGTTCCCTCTCTCGCTGTCTCTCTCTCTCTCTCTGTGTCAAATAAATAAAATCTTAAAAAAAAAAAGAAAGAAATTAGCACAATTTAAAAATTTTAAAGCTAGAGGTTTGCTTCCCTTTGGGGAACACACACTATTCATTGACCGAAGGTGTTTGAACTGGGGGTCATGACATCTGGGAGACATGGCATTAAGTTGTGGAACCCAGCTCCGCCACATACTAGCTGGGATATCTAGTGACTTAAGCTGAGTGACATTTCTCTCATCAATAAAATGACCAACAATGCTTGCTTAAGTTAGATAATCTACCATGATAGATAAGAGTTTTGGTGTGCAATTCACTTTAATTCCTTTCCCTTAAAGAACTCATAAATTAGTGGGTGGGGTGGATTTTGCCAAGTACCCACCTTAGGCCAAGTACCCACCTCTTCTTTTAAGTAAGTCCTCAAGCCCAATCAGAGCCCATCTATTCTAGAGTCTAGAGGATCGTTATCTTAGTTTCTATGTTGCATGCATATACTGTTGCTGACTTTGTGGCTATGTGCCGGCCGCAACTCCGTTGATGAAGACTTTCAGGCAGCTGTGAACTTGATTTTAACTGTCGTTTGATTTCTTCTTTTGCGAACTCATAAGATCCCAGAAACCGGGGTCTGTTTATTCATTTAGCCTCCTTCTGAGTCATTCAGGTACAGGGTGTGTCTATCAATTGAAACTGCACACGGAGAAGTTTTGCGTTCACATCTGCCAGGATGGGAAGCCAGTGCGACCAGGGACTGGGTGGAAATCTGTGTTGCAGCAGGGCAGGGCAGAAGTGCTCTGAGCTTGTCATAGAGGAGGAGCTGACCAAGGCCGCCTCTAGTCTCACCTTCTCAAGTAGCGTCTAAGAGAAAGAAAAGAGCGGGCGTGTTGGGAGCTTTGAGGTGTGGGGGCCTCTAAGTTCTCCCGAGTAGAAAGGGAGAGAAGGGCACCGGCCTCAGACTAGGTTGGCTGGGCCCAGCGGCTCTTCCCTTTTGGAAAGTTGTGCTGCCCAAGCTTTTTAAATCTCTCAGGCCCCAGCAGCTGCCCATGTCCCCAGAGGTCTCCCACTGGCCAGAATCTGGGACCCACGGCTGACTTTGCGCCCGGTTGAATAAGGGAAACCCCCACCCAACGTCTCGCCAGGCGCTGGCCCATCTCACCGCGAGTCCCGGGAAAGCCACTTTCTGCCCCTCAGACCGCAAGTTTCAGGGCAGCAGCGGGATGGGGGTGGGGAGACGTAAAGGAACCTCCGGGGCCATTCTCCCTTCTAGGCTGCTGCGTATCTCCTCCGTGTCTCTTGCAGCCCCTTGCCAGCTTCTCCTCCCCAGAGAGCGGCCGGGACTCTCGGGGTCTCGCCCCGGTTTTCTCTGCCTGCGCAGAAGCGGCCGCGGGCGCGCCCCGCCAAAGTCTTCGGACTCCGATCCAACCAAGGACTCCAGCGCCTAGGGGACCAGAGAGGTGCGCTGGGAGACGCCGGGCTGTTCTCTGCCCCCTAAGACTTTTCAGGAGGGAAGTTTCCAAAGGCTCCCCACCTCCTCTCTTTTGTAAGACTTGGGAGAATGGTCTCCGGGAGTGGAGGACAGCAGGGCTAGGGCCGTGATTTATGCATCAGAATCCAGGGGGCACCAGCCTCCGTCCCTTCTCTGTTTTCTTTTTCTTTCTTTTCTTTCTTTTTTTTTTTTTTTTCGGTTGCCTGTGGGGGAGGAGTGTGTGTGTCTGTGTGTCTGTGTGCGCGCGCGCGCGCGCGCTTCTGCCCCAGATCTTTCCTGGACAGTGAGTCTCTGCAGCCGAGATCCGGAGGCCCCCAGCCGCTGGCGGAGGGCGTGGGGGTTGAGATATTAACCCCTCCCCGCCTCTTCCTACAGAAGCCACCCAGCCTCAGCGGGGCGCTCGGCGACTTCAGCTAGCGGGCCGGCGCTGGCCGCGGGGAGCAGGGCTGGCCATTGGAGTGTGCGGCTGCGGAGGGAGGGGACCCCGACTCGAGTAAGTTTGGAGAGCGTCGCAGTCAGTCCCGGGGCAGCAGCAAGATGCCGAGCGCGCAGTGGAGACCCGGAGCTCTCCCAACGCAACTTCGTCCTGCCTGAGCGAGGTAGGGGACTGCGCGCCTTGCCAGCGCGGGCCGGGGGCGCGGGGGACCGCCGCTGCAGGAGGTCTTCAGTGTTAGAAAGGAATTTTTAAACCCGAACGAAGCAAAAACAAAAAACAAAAACAAAAACAAAAAAAAGAAAAAACAAAAACCAACAACAAAAAACCCAAACCCCAAACCTTTTAAAACATCCATCTCTGGGCGCTGGAAACATTCATCCCTGGGCTGCTAAGGAGCCCAACCCGATCGGATTGTTCTTGGGGCACTTGTGATTTATGAAGTTCGGAAAAGGGTTAAGTCCAGTTGTAAACCCCACCACGGGTAGGGGATAGTGAAAGCTGCGGTTGGTCGCAGAGGGAGGGAAGGCGCTTATATTTGGAAATCCTATAGACAAAGAATATGGGAGGTGGGGTAAAGGCTTAAACTTGCACTGCCGGCGAGCAGGGTGCGGAATTAGATGGGAGAAATGCAGAGCTTCTGGACGCGAGCAGCCTCTGCTACCCGGGGAACTGCTGTCTCTATTACTCCACTTCTTTCACATTGCTGCGTTATCTTGAAACATTACAAGTAGACTTCTGCTGACCAGTGCCATGTTTCATTCCCTCCACACTTTGTAGTTCTAAGAGAGGAGGCAACGTGTTGGGGGGAGGGCAGTAAATGAAACAGCCGGCTCTCGTTCAGCAACGCACCAGACGTACATTTATGTTTCTGGACAGAAGCTTTGAACTTGGAATTAGGAATGTAGTGGCATGTATCGTTATCATTAGTAGTATAACTTCTCTCTTTTGTGTGTGTGCCTGTGTGTGTTTTGGCCAAACTCACAGTAACTAAACATACTCCCTATACAATCAATGAATGTACTAAATTCCTGGGATTTATTGCAATCTCTTATGAACGATTTTCACTGAATACCTTTATATTTTCTTGCACTGGCTTACAAGGGAAAAAAAAAAAAACCTAGAAGAAGAAATTAAGAAAAGTCAGTTGCTTCACAGAAGCGTAAGCTTTCCTGTTTACCGCAAGGCCGGGGCGGGCTTGGCTGCCCACACCCCTCGGACCCTGAGCACACCTGTTCCTAGAGAGTTATTAATAGAGCCCAAAGAATGACTTACTCTGTCAAATGATTTTCGTGCAAATCTAATGTCTTGCAAGGCAATTAGGAGGTGGTTCTCAGCTCTTTTAGCTGGGTGGTGGTGGCAAGCAGAGGTGGTGTGCGTCTCCACCCTCATATTAGCGGTTGGGTCTCTTCCGAGGTGAGACCAAGAGCTGGTGGTGAACCCGCTGGTGAGCGGGCCAACGCTTCAGCGAACCTCCAAGCTGGAAACCTGGAGAGGGTTGGAGTTGGGGGAGCGGTGAGAGGGCGGGAGAGGTGTTATGGGGCTCACTTCTCTAGTTTTCCCATTTCCATTTGGATGTGACACAGGAGAATTTTCATCGTGTCGATTTGGAGTTTTCAGTTTGGGTAAATTTTTGTTCTTTCTCCCTCCCCTGCCCTCCCCCCCCCCCATTTGGCAAGAAATGTGAATTTGATTTTTTTTTTTTTTAAATCCCACTCTGCGCTTCCTCCAAGTTTCCTTAAAACAAATCCACGACAAAACTGGAGCAATGCCTTAGCTAGAATGAATTATGCCAGTGTGCTGTGGCTTTTTCCCTGACTCTCTCCTCTTTGTGACTTGTTTAAAGCTGCGGTTTCCGAGGCCCTCTCCAACCAGGGCAAAGCGACACAAAAAGCCTGGATTTCTCGGACAGAACCACCTTCCGGAGCAAGTGAAGGCTCGCTCGGCCTCGCCCTCTAGCGTTCTTCTGGAGAAGCGCCACCCCCGGATTCCTGGAGACACTGTGCACCATGGGGTCTACCAGCGTCCCGCTGGTGAAGGCCCTCCGCAGTCCTGTCTCCGACTATGTCAACTATGACATTATCGTCCGGCATTATAACTACACAGGAAAGCTGAATATCGGCGCGGACAAGGAGCATGGCATTAAACTGAGCTCGGTGGTGTTCATTCTCATCTGCTGTTTTATCATCCTAGAGAACATCTTTGTCTTGCTGACCATTTGGAAAACCAAGAAGTTCCACCGACCTATGTACTATTTTATTGGCAACCTGGCCCTCTCAGACCTGTTGGCAGGAGTGGCCTACACAGCCAACCTGCTCTTGTCTGGCGCCACCACCTACAAGCTCACCCCCGCCCAATGGTTTCTGCGGGAAGGGAGTATGTTTGTGGCCTTGTCTGCCTCCGTGTTCAGCCTCCTAGCCATCGCCATCGAGCGCTATATCACAATGCTGAAAATGAAACTCCACAATGGGAGCAACAGCTTCCGCTCCTTCCTGCTGATCAGTGCCTGCTGGGTCATCTCCCTCATCCTGGGTGGCCTGCCCATCATGGGCTGGAACTGCATCAGCGTGTTGTACAACTGCTCCACCGTCCTGCCGCTCTACCACAAGCACTATATCCTCTTCTGCACCACTGTCTTCACTCTGCTCCTGCTCGCCATCGTCATCCTCTACTGCCGGATCTACTCCTTGGTCAGGACTCGGAGCCGCCGTCTGACCTTCCGCAAGAACACGTCTAAGGCCAGCCGCAGCTCGGAGAAGTCGCTGGCGCTGCTCAAGACCGTGATTATCGTCCTGAGCGTCTTCATCGCCTGCTGGGCGCCCCTCTTCATCCTGCTCCTGCTGGACGTGGGCTGCAAGGTGAAGACCTGCGACATCCTCTTCAGAGCCGAGTACTTTCTGGTGCTGGCAGTGCTCAACTCCGGCACCAACCCCATCATTTATACTCTGACCAACAAGGAGATGCGCCGGGCCTTCATCCGGATCCTGTCCTGCTGCAAGTGCCCCAGCGGGGACTCCGCGGGCAAATTCAAGCGACCCATCATTGCCGGCATGGAATTCAGCCGCAGTAAGTCGGACAACTCCTCCCACCCGCAGAAGGACGATGGGGACAACCCAGAGACCATTATGTCCTCTGGAAATGTCAACTCTTCTTCCTAAAACTGAGCGCTGCCGACCCACGGGGAGAATTCTTGCGTGGTCACCCACCACCCAGTGTTCGGAAAAAAAAAAAAAAAAAAATCTCTGTCTCGACTGCTGCCAGGGAGGAGCTGCTGGGAGTCAGAGGGAGGGCGGGCGTAGTAAGAGCAGCCTGGTGGTGCCGGGGTGTTGGTGGGTTAGTTCCTGTGAACAATGCACTGGGAAGGGTGGAGATCAGGTCCTCGTCTGGAATCTATTTCCTAACCCCCCCGCCCTGGAGCTTTGATTTTGCACTGAGCCAAAGGTCTAGCATCGTCAAGCTCCTGAAGGGTTCATTTGGCCCCTCCTGGAAGACTAACGTCCAGGTGTGAAAGCGTCTGTCGGGAGCTTTGAGGAGATGTTTTCTTTCACCTTACTTTCCAGCCCAAGGGATTGTGTGCACTTCTGTTTCTCTGGGTATGCTCTGCATATCCCACCCTCCCTTGGCCTTCACACCCGTCCTCAAAAGTCTGTTACTTTATTATTTGAACTACCTGGCGTTCATCAGAGCTGGGGTTGTGGCATGGTCCATTTCTTGATGGTTTGTAGCAGGTAGGCTGTGTCCAGGAGGTAAACTGTGAGGAATGGAGATGGTTTGGAGATATAAAGCAATTTTATTTCCCGAGGCCAAAGTTTCCATGTAAGCTGGATCAGTTTTTTGGAATTTGGTTAAAGTCACTTTGATTTTTTTTCTTTTAACAACTTTACAAGGAAATGTATTATAGCATGGTATCCATTGTGGCTGAAATCTGCATAAGGAAGTCCAATTTACCTAAATGGTATCAGGCAGGATCCTTTGTGTCATAGGAGAAACAAACTAGCAAAACCAGGTGAAAACTGACTGGGGGAGGGGAGGGGGGAGTGACTGTAAACCAAGAGAGATTTCTTAATGAATCTGTCTAACAAATACAACATCTGTCTTTGGCACTTTGTTGATGTTTATTTCAGAGTGTTGTTGTGAATTAGTTCAACCAACAGGATGGTTGTATTTTGTTGTGTTAAAAGTACTTTCCGTGATTTTTGAATGTATTTGTTTCAGCATTTTATTGGATTTTTCTAACTTGTGTTAACACCGTTGAACGTGTATTTCCTAAGAAAATACAACCTTCTTGTGCCATTAAAGCATTACTTTAACTGATAGGGAATACCAGAAGTTTTTCAATACAGCTGTTCATTAAATAGTCAATTAAAGATGTGTATAAATGTTACAAAAAATATATTGCTGTCTCTTTAGTATGGTTTTCAGTGCAATTAAACTGAGAAATGTCTTTTAAAAAATAGTATTTAATAGGTTTCTGACTTTTGTGGATCATTTTGCACATAGCTTTATCAACTTTTAAACATTAATAAACTGATTTTTTTTAAAGATTCCTCTGTGGAGAGCATTTTTTAAAAAAAATTATTAAGCTTCTATTTGACTATGTGGCTTTTTAGAATCAAAGTTACGGGCAAATTTCTATTACTCTTTAAAGGATTTTACCTTGATAAACTAGGGTGTAAAAAAAATGTGGTTTGTTAAAAACCGCTCTTTTTCAGGAAGAGAAACTTCAATAAGTTAACATTGAAGAGTAGTAAAAATGTGATGAAAACCACCAACCTCTAAATACCACATTGACAAGTAAATGTAATTATTGGAGTTTAAATTACATTCAAGCCAAACTAAATTATATATAATAATTCTTGTCCTAAAACATGGGTTTAAAAAAAACAATATACAACAATGTTGCATATCTAATTTAAATTATGAAACTCAATGGTCATGGCAAACACATCAACAAAAGCTTACATGCTTGGCTTTCCACCAACATGCTGGAGAAATGGGGATATGGATATGGGAGACAGTATATTAAATCACTTAATTTTTTTCAGGACACTGTCTTGGCTTCTCCCAGACTACCTTTGAACAACATGGGACTATACAGTATCAGTGAAGTAGCAAGTTGCAGAATGTAGGTGGCATAGTATACACCTCATGCCTGAAAACTTTCAGTTAATAGTATCTGAAAGTTTTAACATCCTAGCTGTTACTTTCTCCAACTATACAAGGAGAGCAAGGGCACTTTGTGAGCATCACGGAATTACTGTAATAATTCATTTTTGTTTCAACATTATTGTCACCTTCACTGGGGATTTTGGTGTGTTTGGCTCTTCAGTCCTATTCTTACTTTCAGAATTTGTGCTTTCAACTGTCATTGAATATGCACAGGACACAGTTGGGACATGAAGATAAACCTCACCTAACAGAGTAGATGTCATTTCTGGGTAAGGTTAACTGTGGGAAACAGAAGTGTGTTCACTAAGGAAACCTTAGGTCACAACCTCCAGTTTCCTGAAGGAAATGCCAAAAATGCTCTGAAGACAAAAGACTGGAAACAAACTGGAATGTCTCTCTCCATCTGTCTGCTGAGGCGGAAGGAATGAGTTCATGCTGCACTCACTTCCTAGAGCTTTCGTTACAGAGTCCAGCATAATGGAAAAGCATGTCCATTTTGTGTTTCTATGGAAGATAAGTGTTCTTACTCTTGGTTTTATCTTTATAAGCACAGCAATGACTCACACAACATGGGGAAGATGAAGTAGGGCAGCTGACCCTGGTGGAGATTGGGGAGCTCATGACAACAGTGACAGAGAGGACAGCCTTGCTTGCCCACCTGTGAGCACATTATCCAATCGTTTAATGTGCATTCTTCCTGGAAATTCCAGACCATGCATTTCATTCCAAGAGAGGTAGACAGTCATGCACTGTAGTTTTCCTGGGCAGATGTGGGACAGAATCCTACCTCTGGCCAAGAAGCAATGGCTAAGATAAAGGAATCCTTGGTGGTATCTCAACATGGATATCTGGTTTTAATTTAATATATCCTGAGAATTGAGGATGAAAAAAAAAAAACACCTCAGTAACTATATTTTTATACTAAAACAAACATCCATGAACCTTTGATTAAAAAACCTATGTAGTGTTTTATAAGAGGAGTAAAACAGGCAACTGGAGCAATGCCTGACATATGCTTGTAGAAGTGCCTCTGATTCATAAATATTCAGGAAGTTACAAATTGACATCAAATAATACCTTATTTCCAGAGCACCTGGGTGGCTCAGTCGGTTGAACGTTGGACTCTTGGTTTTGGCTCAGGTCATGATCTCATGGTCCTGATGTGGAGCCCCATGTGGGACATTATCATGGAGTCTGCTTGAGAGCCTCTCCCTCTCCCTCTGTCCCCCCTCCCCCCACGCTCTCTCTCTCAAATAAATAAAAGAAATCTTTTAAAAAAGAATACTTTATTCCCAACAATATTGTGATTACAACTCTACAGAACATTTCAATAGATATCTTATATAAGACAAATGTTTGTTCTTGCTTTTTAGCCTCACTATAAGTAGAAAAATTAAATTCTTTAATAAAAGTTGATCTAGTGATATTAGAAATTGCAAAATTTATAGTAATAGAAATTTTGCATTTATGTTAATTAGAGACTGGATTTTATTTTAGTAACATCAGCACTTTGGTTGTGTCTTATGCTATCTTTAATGTTCCCCCAATGGAGAAAGCCTTATTATGAGGATTTTAGCTTCTTTTCAAATTAGATTAATTTCTGTCATGGACACTGCCTATGATAAGGATGTGCCCAATGTAATACTCTTCTAATACTTCTAACCCAGACTGTACTTTTTGAATGATTTTGACTCTTCATACCTCCATTCAGCATATCACTGAGACCCCTCACGTTTTCTAGGTAACTACAAATATAGCTCAATTTGGGAGCTACTACTCTGAAATAGCAACTTAAGAAAGATGATTAGCAGTCGCCTGGGTGGCTCAGTTGGTTAAGCAACTGCCTTCGGCTCAGGTCATGATCCTGGAGTCCCGGGATCGAGTCCCGCATCGGGCTCCCTGCTCAGTGAGGAGCCTGCTTCTCCCTCTGACCCTCCCCCCTCTCATGTACTCTCTCTCATTCTCACTCTCTCAAATAAATAAATAAATCTTTAAAAAAAAAAAAAAGAAAGATGATTAGCTCTATTGGGGAAATCTTACCAAGGGAGGACTTGAAGTTCAAGTAATTGTAAATATTAGCAACCCCATTTTCAATTGAGAAGCAAGAGATAATATTCAAGTGACACATTAAAAAAATATTTAAATTACAAAACTGTTAAATTTGAACTTGTAGTCACTGGCTCAAAAATTAATGTCTAACTAGGAACTCCTATTTACCTACATTATTTGCAATAATGTTTTCTGTGCTCTCTGTGTAATGTTCAGTTATTCTTTTCTTTAATATTGCTTGCTCCATACTCAGCTGGAATGACGTTTCCTGTGGACACTTAACTAATTAGATCAAACTAGATTGATCTCATTTGTTTCTTAACTAACTAGATGAAACTAGATTTGTCTGTGTTTTTTCTAAATAGTTTTAAAACATCTTGAGGGAGGAATCACAACCAAAAGAAACTTTTATAGGACCTATTAGAGTATTCTTTCCCTGTGGACAGAGTTAAGTTCTTGATGATGAGAAATCATAATAGATTACATCATTTCCCCCAAACTTCCTGCTTTTTTGATGTCTTTCACATGGTCCAAGGAAAGGGACTCAAAATATTTTTTTTACACAGACCACTGCCCGCACTGCCACACTGATTGGAACTGGAGTCATCTTCCAGAATGCCCAAGCAAGCAAGGTCTACCTGAATTACCAAAAGCCTTTAGATTGTTTACAAAGAAAAAGAATTTTTAACCAGTGGTCAAAAGAGCTAGGAGAGATAAGAGGAAGATAACAGTGAAGGGGGGTTAGACCTGAATTTAATTCAGTCTTTTCACAGTCCTTGACAAGAGCCAGGACCAAGAGCAAATTTGGTTCATGTTGAAGATATTTTGCCTAATACATCCTATCTCTTACTCCTGGTGCTTGCTTCTTAGAATCAGACTTTCAAGTGATTCCTGTTTTTCTCCTGCTCTCTTTTTCACCCCTTTGAGGACTGAAGGATTAAAAGTCAGATTTAGCTCTGGGTATAATCATTAGCAAAAGCATGTGTGGATCGTATATTTGAATGAACAAGAATTGCTACGTTTTCTTTTACTGGAGCACCATATGTGCCCAACCAGCTCCTGTGTGAACAATGGATAAACACATTGTGGTAAATTCATACAACAGAATACTATTCAGAAATTTAAAAGGCAACTGCTACTGATACTTGCAACAATTTGCATAAATCTCAAAACCATTCTATTGAGCAGAAGAAGCCAGCCACAAAAGAGAACATACTGCCTGATTCCATTTATGTGAAATTCAAGAGCAGGCAAAACTGATCTATAATGATGGAACTCAGAACAGTGGTTGCCTTGCAGAGAGGATAAACTGGAAAGGGACATGAAGGAAGTTTATAGATTGTTAGCAATGTTCTGTATCTTTATTTTTAGGATGTTGTTTACTTGGGTGTGTGTATGCCTTTGTCTAAACTTACCCAACTATATTAAGGCCTATGAAAACTTTTTTTAAAAAATCAGTATGGTAGACTTCCATCTCAATATGAGGGTTATATGGGACTTTCTGTACAAACTTATGAAATGAGGTTCCAAAGAGTTTAATAGAACATGGCAAAAGTTCCAAAGTGTCCCACAGAAGAAACATGTGCTCTTTTAGCATTCTTCTAAGTCCTAGAACCCAAACATTAAAATGCTAAATAACTGTGACCCGACGATATTCTCTTTGCTTCTATAGGATGAGAATTTGGCTTAGTATTGGTATTTGTAAGCCCTAAAGAATTTCTGTGTCTTGGAAGAGTCTAGGATTGTAACGAAACTGTCACAATAAAAGTCTGTTGACATTCAGATTTCAGTCTTAGGAACATATAATGTACTATAAATAACCTTATGAAGAATGGGCTTTTACACACTGGCAAGGGTACTGACACATATTAATACGGTGACATACAACCTGGAGTGTGCCAAACCATTTCTTACTACCTGACCAAACCTATGAAAGGCATCCAGTCAGATAATAACGCCCATCCCGGGTGCAAGCACTGCAGTGTTAGAAGTAATGCTCAGAGACACAAAATGAACGGAAGGCGGGCTCACGTTCTTGAGGCCTTCGCAAGCTTGTTGTGGCTTAGAGACATGGCCCGTGCTCAGCCCTGTCGAAGGACTCTCTCCTTCAGCCGGCTCTGGGAGTTGTTGGGCGGGGCTGAAGTGCCTCGGGTGCTGCCATGGTCCTTGGTCAGGCTGATTAGACACAAGGAGAAATGGGAATGGGAAAGAAGGGGCAGTGATATCAGGGATGACCAAGAGGGGAAGGTAACTACCTTATCTACTCCCTAGAGCTCTGATCCCATTATTGTTCCACTTTTCTGCTGCTTTGTGATACCAGGGCAGA